GGGGTCTTGGGGGTCGTGGGGGGGTTTGGGGGGTCCTGGGATGGTTTGGGGGGATCCCAGGTGGGTCTGGGGGGGTCCTTGGGGGGTTTTGGGGGGGTCCCAGGTGGGTCTGGGGGGGTCCTGGGGGGGTCCCAGGTGGGTCCTGGGATGGTTTGGGGGGGTCCCGGGGGGGTTTTGGGGAGTCCCAGGTGCGTCTGGGGGGTCCCAGTGATGGATTTGGGGAGGTTGTGCCCCCCCCCCCAAGCCCCCTCTGCACCCAACTGGGATTGAACTGGGATGAGCTGGGATCGAACAGGTGAGCACAGGTGTGGTTTAGGAAGGTGCAGGTGCGTCCAGGTGTGCCCAGGTGTGTCCCAGAAACACCCACAGGTGTGTCCAGGTGTGACAGACACACCCACAGGTGCATCCAGGTGTCCCCAGGTGTGTCCCCAGGCATCCCCAGGTGTGTCCAGGTGTGACAGACGCACCCACAGGTGTGTCCAGGTGTCCCCAGGTGTGTCCCCAGGCATCCCCAGGTGTCCCCAGGTGAGCACAGGTGTGGTTTAGGAAGGCGCAGGTGCGTCCAGGTGTGCACAGGTGTGTCCCAGAAACACCCACAGGTGTGTCCAGGTGTGACAGACACACCCACAGGTGCGTCCAGGTGTCCCCAGGTGTGTCCCCAGGCATCCCCAGGTGTGTCCAGGTGTGACAGACACACCCACAGGTGCGTCCAGGTGTCCCCAGGTGTGTCCCCAGGCATCCCCAGGTGTGTCCAGGTGTGACAGACACACCCACAGGTGCGTCCAGGTGTCCCCAGGTGTGTCCCCAGGCATCCCCAGGTGTGTCCAGGTGTGACAGACACACCCACAGGTGCGTCCAGGTGTCCCCAGGTGTGTCCCCAGGCATCCCCAGGTGTGTCCAGGTGTGACAGACACACCCACAGGTGCGTCCAGGTGTCCCCAGGTGTGTCCCCAGGCATCCCCAGGTGTGTCCAGGTGTGACAGACACACCCACAGGTGCGTCCAGGTGTCCCCAGGTGTGTCCCCAGGCATCCCCAGGTGTGTCCAGGTGTGACAGACACACCCACAGGTGCGTCCAGGTGTCCCCAGGTGTGTCCCCAGGCATCCCCAGGCGTCCCCAGGTGAGGTTTAGGAAGGCACAGGTGTGTCCAGATGTCTCCAGGTGTAAGACACACCCACAGGTGTGTCCAGGTGTGACACAGACACACACAGAGATGTCCCAGGAGAGCCCAGGCGAGGTTTGGAAGGCACAGGTGAGGTTTGGGCTGTATCCAGGTGTGTCCAGGTGTGCCACAGACACACACAGAGGTGTCCCAGGTGTCCCCAGGTGTGTCCAGGTGTGCCCAGGTGGGACAGACACACCCACAGGTGTCCCCAGGTGTCCCAGGTGTGTCCAGGTGTGCCCAGGTGGGACACAGACACACCCACAAGTGTCCCCAGGTGTGCCCAGGTGTGACACAGACACA